GAGAGATTTTAGACCCTCTCATGCAAACAGACTTAAATGTGAAGAGCCAGAGTTTGATGTAGTTTCCTCACACGATTATTTGAGGATTTTAGCCTTTAAATCATTCAATCTCCCACTGATTGTTTGCAAACATTATATTGTTTTAACGGAAAATTGTAAATTATGCATTTCCTCAAAAATACATTGGAACATTTAATTTTATATTGACTGCAACATTCTGTTACTTATATCTATAGGAGCCTGCTTCTAAAGCCCGGTTTGGGCAGTCACGGTTCTAACAACTCGTGTTGGGCAGGGTTTGTCGATGTTTTCCTTGACCTTGCCCACTTTCACAAGCCTTTCCTCTCTTGGGCTCAGTTAATATTATGGGCTCCTCTTGAAGATCCTGATTTTTCCAAAGCACCGGACCTCTGTGGGCTTGAGTTCCGTATGTACGAACTAAGATTGTCTCTGGACCTGCTCCTCTTGGTCTTAATAGCTGGTACCATGAAATGAAAGGATCAAAGTCATCATTCAACGGCAGCTTCATCCCACCAACAGCGTCAAGCTTTGTTGATGTTAATATTCTAAATCTCCTCCATATGCATATAGCAATGGAGCTTCGGGGAATGCTGCCATTGAAGAAGTCGTTTATATGCTTAATGAGCTTGGTGGTTTGAAAGTGAAACTAAAAACCAATTTGGATCTGTTGCCACTCATGTTGGCTGGGGATTTTATCAGCAAGCATCTGGATTCTGCTTCATTTCAGAGACGTAGTTAAATTTATCTCCTCATTTTAAACATGGATTTCTTCTTTTGATATTCTCTTTCGACACTAAACAATAAACAGGGAAAAATCAAGGTCTGTTATGATCAAAGGGGTCAAGTTCCCAATGATGATACAGCCCATAGTGTTTGACCTTAAAAAAAAAGAAACAAAAAAGTGAAAAGAAAGCGACGATAGACACTCCCACTCACACTCCGGCCTCCCCTAATTGCTTGCCCACCAATTTTTACATTCTCTACCTTAATGATTTCAACTGTGCCTCATAACCACTGTCTCATCCTTTTTTGTCTTCGGTGCGAGCCAGTCAAAGCTCTCCCCAGCCCATCAACTTTGAGGGACTGGTGGGTTATGTCTCATCATAAAAAATGGGTGGCTCCTTTTCTGGTGTATATGTGCCTCTCTGGACCATGTAGTCTCCCCCCAATATTTGTCCAACACCATTCAAGTGTTTTGGAGCAATGAGCATTTTCAATTCCAAGTTTGGGTTAGTTTCCTACTCATTGCAATAACCATGCTGTAGGCTGAGTTAACAAAGTAATTGTGGAGAAAAATGAAGCAATCTTTAAAGAAGATTTTCAGGTTACTTATCTGTAGCTAAATTCAGCTCTTGTTAGTATAAAAGTGGGCGGAGACAACATCATGTTCCCTTAGAAAAAAATATCATTCCTCATTATTCACTCCTTTGGCCCCCTGTCAACTCCGACCCCTTTGACTACTTTTGAAATATGATTTGATCTTTCATTAATCTTGAGGTTAAACATTTTTCAATTTTTTTTGTTTAATTTTTCCATTGTTGGGTTGTTGAAAACATAATCATATGCATGCTATAGACAAATGGTAATGCAAAGGAACACCAAATTTTCAAAACACTTTTTTTCTTCTACTGTCATGAGTATGGAACAGACAAGCTTCTTGTAGAAGACATGACTTTGCATTAGCAAAATAAAGTAGAAAATATTAAATAAATTTGTCTTTTAGTTTTGCACTTTCGCACATGAGGCTTATTAATTTATTAGATCATCATCCTAAGCCCTGACCAAATATTAACACTGCAGTCTTTCTTCATTTTTTTTTGGCTAAATGTTAATTTTAGTCTCTCAATTTTATAGTTTTTCATTTTGTAGTCCCTTAACTTTATTTTTTACACTTTTTTGATCCCTCAACTCTAAAAACCACACAATTTTAATCCTCCATGAGTTATCTATGACATGGTAGTTAAATAATTCCATAGTGGCATTTTATTTTAATTTTTTTTATGACATGGCAATAACACATCTTATAATTTGATTATGTGTATAAATAAAAATGCAAAATTAGATTAACATTTATATTTTTAATAAAAAAAATAAAAAACAATAAAGTTGCCTTAATACCCCCATCTCCCTCTCTTGATCCATCTTCTTCCCCTCTTTCTTCCTCTTTGCGAACCTAGCAGTGTTGGGTTTGAGGGAACCTAGTAGATCTAGGTTTCGTCGAACCCAGTAGAACTGAGTTCCACTGAACCCAACTGTGTTGGGTTCAAGGGAACCTAGTAGATCGGGGTTCCTTTGAACCCAGCTTGGGTTCGATGGAACCCAGCTACTGGTTTCCATCAAACCCAATAGATCAAGTTCAACGAAACCCAACAAGTGGCCAATGAAACCCAACAGATGTAAGTTCTTCTTTGGCTTTCCATTCTTAGTTCTTGATCTGCCTGTTGTACTTGTTCTTTGTAGGTTTTTTCAAATTTTGGAGTTGATTTCTTGGAATTTGATTGCATTTATATTGGAATTTGATTAGGGTTTGATTGAGATTATTTATTACCAAGTGAATGAGAAATTAGTTTAATTTGATGAGATTTGTTAGGTTTGATAAAACCTAAGAAGTGGGTTTTGTTAAACCCAATAGCTGGGTTCAATAGAATCCAAATTATATTGGGTTCAACTATAACTGGAGTAAATAAAAATAAAGAGGGGAAGAAGATGGATTGAGAGAGGGAGACTGGGTACTAGGATAATTCTATTGTTTTTTATTTCATTTTATTAAAAATATGAATATTTATGTGATTTGGTATTTTTTGTATGAATGGTGTTATAAGGACAATATTTTTATATTATATTTTGATTCAACTTTCACATGTCATTAAATGAGTAGATATATTCAATATTATGGGTCTCACATGACTAAAAAAAAGTTAATCATTTAAATGACATGTCAAATTGTACCAAAAGATGGTATAAGAAGGTTGTCCCAAAATCATTTCTTTTTTTTTTATCCATGTAACAAATTTATAATGTATTATATTACCATGTCATCAAAAGAAATTTAAAAAATGCTATTTTGGAATTATTTAATAGTCACGTTATAAATAATTGATGAAGGGACCAAAATTGTAGCAATTTTTAGAGTTGAAAGATAAAAAAATTATGAAAAAAGGTTAAGGGACTAAAAAAATATAAAACTTAAAGTTGAGGAACTAAAATTAATATTTAACCTTTTGGTTGGGGTGGCGTGGGGAGAGGTGGGGTGCGCATTTGTAAACACTAGAGTCTAGATAGATGGTCCCTCACTTCTGCTCTCTCCCCCTAGCTAGGGTCTTACTAGATATATGCAGCAACAAAAGGAGAAAGGCATCACCCAAGTCCCCAAACAGAAAATAGCAGCTCATCTTTCTATCTGGTCCATAGGGGGATTTCCCCAAGTAAAAACCTTTTTAAACATGGGCTCTGAAATCAGTACCCAAGCACCTTCTGCATCCGAATTTATTGTAATTCAGGACACCAAAACCTATGCATTTTGACTCTCTCATTTTCAGAGCTCAAACTCCAAGGTTACCCATCAAGAACCAAGATAAACCAACCACATCGAAAAGAAAACACGGAGGATAGAGAGATAGAAAGCAGAGTTTTTGTTTCATCAGTGTTCCTTTTAGAAGCCTTTTTCGATCAGTTTGAGAGAGAAAGTTGTTTGTTTTCTATTTCTTTCTAGGGTTTTGGGCTGAGGTAGAAGATTCCATGCATGATCTGGGTCTAGAGAATGAAGAAGATGGGTTTAAGAAAAAAAGTTGCTTGCGTTTCTCTTCTACTTCTGGTTCTGTTACTCTTGGAAGCTTCAGATTCTGCTGTTTATGGGTCTTCCGCCAGTCATGAAACCTTCAAAACTGGTAATTCTGCTGCTTCTCAAGACTTTAGTCCAGTTGAGTCCAATAGTACTGGTGGGTCTGAAGGACATCATAAGGTTGAAGATGGTGATGCAGTTTTTGGTGATGAAAAGAGGAAAATCCACACAGGTCCAAATCCTTTGCACAATAGATGATTAGAAGAGCAAAAATTTTGATCATCCCACCTCTTCTTTGCTTAAAGAACTATGAATTTTTCCTCTCTTTTTTATTCTTTTTTACTTGATTTATTGTTGATATTTTTGTTTGAGGGATGGAAGTCTGGCTGTATTGTTCATAGAGAAATGTACTACTAGGCAATCCTACAGTTGCATATAAAGTAAGTTTTTTAATATTTTGAATTGTGTTCTTCTGACTTCTGAATCCTCTGAGTTCATATTTATTATGATTTTTATTGCATGCTAGTTGCTGTTTGCCATTAATGGGGTTGTTGCAATGACTATGAGCAGCGTTTGTTTATGGCTTCATGTTAATTAGGTGGAGAATAAAATCAAAAGGGTATATCTCTTACTGCCAAAAAAATCATGAAAAACTAAGATGCCATGTTCTTCTCTAGGAATATAATTATGGTATCAAACCAGAGAGAACATTAATGATGGCATAAGAAATTAGTAGCACTAATTTTCTTTTGGTTGAATATAGTTTTTAGTCCCTAAACTTATAATTTTGAATATTTTTAATCCTTACATTATTTTTAACACTTATTTCGCCCTTAACTATGAAAATGCTTTTTTTTTTTTTGTCATTCCATCAATTTAGTCCATTAAATTTGTTTACATATATATATATTAGTTTCTAAACTTATAATATATACAGATATAGATGAATTTAATAGATTAACTAATAAAATAATTAAAAAATATATATTTTTCATAATTTAGAAATGAAAAAAATGTAAAAGATAGTTCAAAGACTAAAAATATATCAAATTAAAAATTTAGGACTAAAATTAACCTTTTCTTTTTGATAATTTATTATTTACAATGTTCTTTTCAAGGGCTTCTATCACGAAGAATTTTCTCTACTATTCTTAACCCAATTACATGAAAAATTAATTACCACAGACAGTAGCCTAAAATAGTTGTTTCATATAAAAAAAATGTAAAAATTTTGAAAAATCCTCATAAAAATTGTCTATGGAATTGGAATGCTCTTTTAGTCTTTCTCCTTGTACTTCTCCCTGTACTTCTTCCACTGGTCCAACTCAACTTTAGAAGGTCTCTAATAACCTGTACTTGACTGTACTGAACCCAAATTAGTGGAACAAGCCCATTGGGCCTCACAGACATTTAGTAATAGGCAAAGCTGGGCCGAGTCCATAAATTTTAAATCCCCCTTAAACCCTATTCGTCTCCCCTTCTCCGTCACAGTTGACAAACCAAACCAAACCACAGCCGTCGGAAAGAAGGTTCTCGACACTACTCTCTACTCTGAGATGGCGAGGCGTTTGATTCCGGCGTTCAATCGTATATTGGTGGAGAAAATACTTCCTCCGTCCAAAACCAATGCTGGGATCCTTCTTCCTGAGAAGACCCCCAAGGTTAGTTTCACTCTCTTGCAATTTTATTCAATTTTGAGTTACCTGGAGCCATTTTTGTTTTTATATTGATTGCTTTTCATTTTGTTCAATATGTGAATCAGTTAGTTTGCTCTTCCTTTAATTGTTTGCATGGATAGTTTCTATTTTTTGCGAATTGTTCCATGGGAATCCATGATTCTGAATGTCTTAAGTATACAAAATACTGCATAAGTAGTTCTGCTGCTTGTATGCTTGGAAAAAATGAAGAATTTCTGAAAGCCTGAAATTAATTGAGAATAACCATAAGCGTTCTTTTGGGTTTTAACCTCTTAGTATATTTCTCATGATTTTTATTTCTGAATGTTTGATTATTTGTCTGCTGACTACTTAGGATGATATGTTGTTTTGCTTCCTAAGTTTGTTACTTGGTTTCAGTTGTTTCTTACTCTATTACTTGGTTATTCAGCTAAATTCTGGGAAAGTTGTCGCGGTTGGTCCAGGAGCTCGTGACAGAGATGGGAAACTTATTCCTGTTAGTTTGAAGGAAGGTGACACTGTTCTTTTGCCTGAGTATGGAGGCACGGAAGTGAAGCTTGGTGAAAAAGAGTGAGTTTTATTGTGCTTTTGAACTGTGTCACATGTTTTTCTGTTAATCTATATAGTTTTTGCTGAAACAAGTTTTAGATTGCTACACTTCATTCCAATCATTTTTAGTAGCTAAGTACTAATCTTCACTAGGTTTTTAGGTCAGTTCTCTTGTGTGACAATTGTTAATCCGATTGACATGGTATACATGAGCTAGTATATGTTGATTAATGCCTCTGCCCTCTGTTTGTTGCCTTGTCTCATTAATTAAATTAAACAAGTTCATTTTGCTCGACGATGGCCACATCTTAAAAGGCATACATACCTTTACCTTATATATATGTTGAAAATTTTAACTAATACCTTTGTCTTTTGTTCTTATGAATCATTGCCTTGTTTCCTGAGTGAGCATGTTCTGGTTTTTGGTTGTTTCAGGTATCTCTTATACAGAGATGAAGATATCCTGGGAACTCTTCATGACTAATTTGAGATATTGCTTGGCAATTCTTAATCCTGATTTTGTATCATGGATAACTTTTAAGTGCTCTTTTCTTGACGGCATAAACACTCTATTTTGCATTGAAGACTACAATGTATCTTAACCCTGGTGGTTATTGGGAACATGCCAGAAATTTCAAAAATCTGTGATTCATTACTAAAATCTTTTGTCCTGCTTTTCATTTTCAATTCTATTTGTGGTTTCTAAAGCTCTAGGGTAAGCACAGTTAATGTTTTAACCATAGTTGTTAAGCAAAGGCTACTTTGGCAACCCAAGGATTGGATCTACTGGTAAACAGTGTTGTCTTGTAGGTCAAGTTTAGACTAAGTTTAAGATTCAAGTATTAGGGCCAACATTCAAGGAATTTAATTTCCTTGAATGCACCAAGCTGATAGCCAAACTCTAGTTGATATGCAGCCCAATTTTTGCTAATGCATCCTAGTTACTATATATGATTATTAGTTAATAAGACTTAAGATGATGTTTGGATGTATTACAATTTTGTTTGTCTGTTTTTGTTTTGTTTTGTTTATTAAAAATAATTATTTTGTGTAAGTATGGTATGGAAAATTTATATTAAAATGCCTCTTAACCCTACATATATATATATATATATTGATTTTACAAATTCTGATTTGTTTTTGTTTTCATTTTTAAAAAGAAAAAATATATATTTGGCAACCCCAAGGTCATTCTATCTTTTACAATTCCTTAAAACTAAATTAGCAGGAATGAGTCTCTTTGCCCAGCACAGAGACAGATTGTTGGGCAATGGCAAAATAAAAATAAATTAGAAGGATAAAAAAAAAAAAGAAAAAAAAAAAGGAGTTTCCTTATCCTAAAAAAAAAAAGAAAAAAAAAAAGGCTGCTTATCATCTTTAAAAACAAAAAAAACCAACGAAATTTGTTAATCTTAGTGAAAGGAGACTAACGATCTGTTAGTCCGAGTGGAAAGAGTTTAGTTCTTTTTAAATAAGATTTCGAGTTTAAGTTTTGTGAATGGAAAAATAGGAATTGAGAGTTTCCCTCTAATGGGATTCGACATAATTTAATTCCAGATTAATAGTGAGTTAATATAATTATCGGATGGATACTGAGTGATTAAAAAGAAAAAAACGAGACGAGTTTAGGTTTGCTCGGGCGGCCACTTCAAATTGGCCTATATTTGATGTATGGGCTGAGCAGAGCCCAAACTAATTAGACACACTGCTTCACAAGCTGATCCGAAAGCTCCCACCACCGATCGACACTGGCAAAGAAACGTAGGCAGTACGTAACGGTCAAAAACTCTCTGCCATCTCCGGTGTTCTGTCTCTCTTCCAAGCCGCCCGCCTGCCTCTTTCCGTCTGTTTTCAACTTCAAAGGTAACATTCTCTTTGCCTTCGCGATCGGTTTTTGAATTCCGTTTTTCCTTCCTTTTTTTTTTCCGTGTTTATTGATCCTACAATTTTTGATTTAGTATTCTGGAAGTTGATGCAAAATAAATATTACAGATCTTTGATAGATTAGGGTTTTATTTTCCGACATCGATTCATAAATTCATTACACATTGTTGAAAATTAAGGTTCTAACATTGTCCTAATCAGAGCAGAGGTCTTTTTCTTGGTTCCCTCATTTTGTCTTTCTGTATATATATTCAATCTTCATTTTGGTAATTCTTCTTTTACTTCTTTCTTCTTCGAGCACCTCCATTGATGGTTCCGGAAATAAGAAACAGGACTGTTGGTGTTGGAGGAGTGTTTTAGATAAATTTAACTTAAATCTTGATTCTCTTTTACTCGGGTTAGCTTTCTTCTTCAAAGCCTCTAGGTACTTTTACTCTTTGGATTTTATTTCACTTAATCGTGATTTTCCTCTACTTGTGTATGCTTTCCATGGAATGGTTTATTAATTTATTTACTTAATTTTTTGTTGTGTCCACTGAAAGAGAAATTGATTTACTCAAAGGTTCAGGTTGCATTTTATGAAGTCAAGGTTTTCAAGAGCTTTCTTGATCAATTTAAGTTCTACTTACGGTAGAAACTGCCAGAAAACTAGGTTTCAACTTTCTCATTTTGAGCATTATTTGAATACTGATTAGGTCACGATTGTACTAGGGGTAGTGGTCCTAATTGTTTGATATCTCAGATCTTTGGAATACAATCTAAATTCCAGTGGTTATGTGA